ATTATTTAGTTATTGCCAGTTTATTATCAGAGAATTTTGGTACAAGTGATCGTCGGAAAGAGTTAATGATTTGCGTCTCAATTTTTATATATAATAATTTTTGCAATAGACATGTGTATATAACTAAATAATATCATAAATTTGTTATAAATAATTTTTATTATATAAAGATAATAAGCATCAAAAATTTTAATTAACATGTCTCAAAAGCATAAATCTTTAACAGATATTCAAAAGTATGAGTTTTGCAAATATGTTGAAAATAATAATAAAAAAACTAGAGCTGAATATATACAATACATTGAACAAAAATGAAAAATTAAAGTTAGTTTATCTACTATTACACGAATTCTTCAAATAAAGAATAAATGTTTTGTAACAGAAATAAAAAATCTTGATGCTAAATAACATAAACCTAATACTTTTCCAGAATTAGAACTTGCACTTAAAGAATTTATATTAGTTTATCAAGATCAAACTATTTTAAGTAATGCAATAATTATTAAAAAGGCCAAATTACTAGCAAAAGAATTTAAAATTTCTGAAGATCAGCTTAAATTTTCTAATGGATGACTTCAAAAGTTTAAAGATCATAATGAAATTTATCAAATAGTACTTCATAAAGAGGCAACATCTGCTAATTATGCTAAAATTGAGGAAATCTTACTAATTTTAAAAGAAGAATATAATCAATACCCTTTAGAATGCATCTATAACATGGATGAAACAGGGCTTTTCTACCAGTTTTTTTTATTTATTTATTATTATTATTTATTATTATTATTATAGTTATTATTAAACAAAAATAATTTTAATTACAGATTAGAACTAGACAGAACACTGGCAACATGATGTATTTCAGATCATAAAAAAAACAAAGAATGAATATCAATTGCTTTGTGTACAAATGCAGATGGATCCTACAAATTAAACCTATTAGTAATTGGAAAATACGCTAACCCACAATCTTTCAAAAATATTAACATCAAAAACTTACCTATGGCATATTGTAATAATGCTAAGGCATGGATGCTTGCAGTTCATTTTTAGGATTGGTTAAAGGGATTTGATAGGCAGATAAAACTAAAATATAGAAATCAACAAGTGCTTCTCTTGCTTAACAATTGTTCAAGTCACAAAATTGATGATGAAGTTAAATAATACTAATGTCTACTTTCTCTTGCTGCATACTACTTTAGCAATCCAACCTATGGATGCTGGGATAATAATGTCTTTTTAAAACATTACCATTGCTTTCAACTTCAGTAAGATATATTAATTTATTATTTATTGTTATTTTTATAATACTAATTCAATTAATTTATTTACTACACATTTATTTATTTTATTTTTCTATTTATTGATTCATTTAATTTATTTATTTGCACTCTTATTTAAACTTATTTTTCACTTACAAATTTATTTAAATTTTTTTTTACTTAATTTCTTTTACTTACATACCTATTTTTAACTTTTTCAATTGTTTTTTGTTTCCAGTTTATTATTTTCTTTATTATATTTATTTGCTTCTATAATAATTTATAATTACATTTGCACTAATTTAATTTCTTTAACATTCTTATGTATTCTTTTTATTTTAACATATAAATATTTATTTATTTTGCTACTCATTGATCCATCTGTTTTATTTCATTCTTTTATTTATTCACTTATTTATCTACCTATTTATTCATTTCATCTCTATTCATTATTTGCTCACTTATTTATTTATTCATCCATTCATTTATTTGCTTATTGATTCATTCATTTACTCATTTATGTAATCTATTATTTATTATTTTTTTGCTTTTCTATTTAATATGCTTATTTATTCATTAATTTATTTGTTTATCTATTTGCTTATTATTTCAATTTACTACTAATTTACTTGTTTATCTATTCATTTATTATTTATCAATCCACTTATTTACTATTTATTCACTTCATTCATTTACTTATACATTCTTTAATTTGTTTCTATTTATTCACTTATTTCTAATTTCATTAATTTATAAATTGTTAATTTATTTGATTTGTTTGTACACTTATTTACTGACTTATGAATCTATTTTTGCTCTTACCTTATTTATTCTTATGTCTGAAATTGCTACTTATACTAACTTAATGCCCTTTATCTATTTATTTATCTATAACATTTTAGATAGATGTTAAAACAGGTCAAGAGAGGCAACTTAATTCAAGACTTGAAGATGGACATCCTTTAGGCTATCTGTTATGTTATTAAAGGTTGGAAGGAAGTTACTGCTGAAACTATAAAAAATTGTTGGCACAAAACAGTGATCCTTCCTATTAGTGCTAATTCTATACAATCTAAATAATAACCTGTATTGTTTGTTAAATATTATGTGTACATTTATGTATATACATACATATGTATATGCAATAAATATTGATTTTTTTTTTTTTTTTTTAGAAATAATCCTGTGTGTGACGAACTTATTGAAGTGCTTAACTTTTTGTCTTTTCCAAATATAATGGAAGTTGATGAATTTTTAAACATTCTTAATGAAAATATTATCTATGAGGTTCCTGATGATAAAGTTATAGAAGAACTTGTTAATATATTTAGTTCTGAAGGTACAAATAAATCAAGTAAGATGGATAATTCTGATAAATTAAATAATAGTATTGAACTACTAATTATTAGTGCTAATGCTGCATTAAAGAATTTAAAGAGTATTAGATTGTTTTTACTTCAACAAGATGAAGTTAATGAGCAACTAAAATTAGTTAATAGCCTTGAAAAATTTATTAGCAAGAAAAAAATTAGTTCAATGGCACAAACTAATATAGATATGTATTTTTTTTTTTTTTTTAATATTAATGGTGAGGCCATGCCTCTATCTTTATTGAATATTTAACTGAGATTTTTACAT